TGCGGGTGCAACACCAAGGGTTGCGATCCCATCGCCAGTCCCCGGTACAGGCGCGACACTGAGGGTTGTGATCCCGTTACCGGTCAGTAAAAAAGACAAAAAGGAAAAAAAAAAAGTAATTAACAGTAACATTAAATGGCTTCATAATCTTTTAAATCTCTTTATTAGCTTTTGGATAGGCAAATGGACCACATGAAAAGATACTCATGTTTCAGGATGTTCCCATTATGTTTTAGATCTCTATGTCTTCATTTCTCACTTATAAAAATATACTTTCAAAATTGTCTTGGGGTTTATTGTCCAACTTCAACCTTTAATTCTCAAAGTTCTTAGAACATCTTGAGAAGGTAGAGGGAGAGGGGAAAGGGACTTTTAGAAGCAGTGCAAAGGAATTCTGTGGGATGGAATTAAATTTGTTATTTAAAAAAATGGTAGTGGTATATTTTCTAATTTAGACTTTTAACTTCAGTACATTTATTTTAATTTTTGCCTGATTTGGGCCCCAGCATTGTAAAAAGAGGGTCTAATTCCTGGCATAGCGGAAGGCTGGTTGGTGTTGATTGAAAAACCAGCATTGTGCTAAACAGCTTTTTGTCCTAAATTCTATAAGGCCAAAATAAGTAGCTTTTCTGTACTGTTTCTGTGTTGTATTGCTGTTCTTTCTCTGCATTTTTATTGATGAAGGGAAACAATTATACAGAAAGTAGTAGGGATGATCAGAAGGTGATGTTAACAGAGATCGTGCTATCTGCAAATGTAGTTTGGTAACTTTCTGGAGTGTCAGCGGAGTAGCAACGGGAAGTAAAATTGCAATTTGATGATTTTACCTTGTGATTCGATCCTTTTCTGACTCAGTGTCCATCAGAACACTATTTTTCTACAGTATGATAAGGACATTAAGCAGGTTCTGATTTTGGCCTTAGAAGATAAAGGTTAAATTTAAAAAGGAAGCTTTTTAATAAATTTAAAAAGGAACCTCTCATAAATTTTGACGAATTGGAGATAAGTAGCTAATTGAAAGATTCAGTTGGTTGATTTTAGGTTGTTTAGGCTTTGCTAAGTAAAAATAAGAGGTATACATCTTTCTAAGGAGAGTAAGCCTTGTGTACCTGTTTCTCCAGATTCCTCTCTATTCCTTTGTCAGTGCTAGCTAGCTGTGATTGCCTGTCCTTGTGTTCTTGTGATATCATCATTTAGGCTTAGACTTCTAGTAGGCAGGAAAGCGTTCATTGTCTGTTTTGTGCTAATGAAACAAAGTTATTTACTGTGACCAGAGAATGTTCTTTTTATTTAATATGCACATTTTCATTCATTTATTTATTTATTTTTCGGCTGGCTGGTATGGGGATCCGAACACGTGACCTTGGTGTTATACAGTTAGCTCTAACCATCTGAGCTAACTGGCCAGCCCTAATTAACAAATCTTTAGTTAAAATACTAAATAAATCTGCAGCATGTTTTTAGTCAAACGTGCTTCTCACATGCATTTAAAATGCCATATTATTTTCTACATAAACAGTCCCCTAGTGTTTTAGGGTGTGTATTAGGCAAGTTCTTAATGACTTAAAAACATTGAAAACTTACTGCAAGAAATTAATGTTTTTTTATTTTTATTTAATATCAAAGGTAATTGAGTTTGTTTAAAGTTTTGTTAGACACATAAAGATTCATGATTATTGTGTCTTTTTAGCAGGTTCTATCTTTTATCAGTAAAACTATCCTGTGCTCTGTCTGATGCTTTTGAATGGTATTTTGTCTGATACTACCTTAATTAGTTAATATTTGCCTTCTCTTGTTTTTTTCTACTTTTTTTAGCCTTTCTGTGTTATTTCTTTTGGGTTATGCTTTATAGTTAGGATGCAGTTATTTTTGGTTTTAAACAGTATGAAAAATCTATCTTTTTATATGGGGATCTAACCGATTCACATTTATTATTATTGACATATTTACTGCCACATTTACCCTGCTTTTTTGCTTCTTCCTTTATTCTCCTTCCTACTTTTTGTTGTATTGGTCATCCCCCCAATTTGAGTTTCTTTTAGTAGTAAGGACATTCCTTACTTCTGTTCTTGTGTTCATCCTCAAATGCTAGTTTGGCTAGGTATAAGATTTTAAGTTCAAGATAATCTTTCTTCTGAACTTTGAAATTATTACTTAATTGTTTTATAGTACCTAATGCTGATGACAGTCTGGCACCAAATTGGTTCTTTTTCTTTTATAGGTAATCTGTTTTTTCTACCTAAACACTTTCAGGATTTTTGTGTGAAATTTCACCATAATATGTCTAAAAATGTGTATCATTTTTTCTTCAATTCCAGGAATTTTTCTAATATTTCCCTAGACTCTCTTTTCTATACCTTTCCTTCTAGAACTTAAGATAGATAGATGTTGGAACTTCTGGATTTATACTCTTGTTATTTACCTTTTTCTCCAAATTTCTTACCTCTCTATCCTCTGTTTTCATTGTATTCTGGCAAGTCTCCTTGGCTTTACCTTCCACTTGTTAATTTGTTCCTCACCTGTGCCTATTCTGATTTACCATCCATCAACTTAATTGTAGTCTTTTTTCATTTTCAAGATTTCTAATTTGTGCTCTTTCAAAGCAGCCTTTTTAAAATGACTATAAGATATCCTCTCATTCCTCTGATATTTAATCTTCTGTTTGCTTAGTTTATCCTGCTTTCTCAGATACTAGTTTTCTGTTTGAGTTGGGTGCCTCTCTTCTATGCATTGATTTTCCTTTAGTGTTTGCAGTTCTCGATTGTGTGGTCTCTTGGAAGAAAGAGGTGGGGTATGCCTGTCTCCTGTCTTTTGGGTGTAGAGGATCCTCATTCCTTCTGGATGACACAGCTCTACTACATTCTGACTTCTGCTTCTCTCCAGTGGAGTGGGAGGATCATTGAGGTCTCAGATGCATGTTTTTCAGCAGTCACCCTGATGGTTGCCCCTCAGAGCCCACAGCTACATAAGGGATTCCTAGTTGTCTTATTTTGTGAGTAGTTCTCTGTCAGTTTAGTCCTGGCATATTTTCACAGTCCCGAAACGTGTATCCTTGGAATATGTTTCAAGGTTACTATTTAGCTTATATTTCAAAGATTTTGGAGGATGATTAAGGCCGTTGACAAATGGAAGATTTTACATTCATCTATTTATTTGTGCTTTAATTGCTTCCTTTCATCTCCCAGATCGCAGTTTTAAAATATATGTATTTATTGATAACAGCTAATTTAAACTAGCTATAATATTCTGAAGTTAGATTCTTAGAGTTTACTACAAATCCTTCTTTGCACATTATACTTTTTAAAAGGAGCAATAACTGTAGTTAGACTAAGTAAAAGGGAAACAGAAGGTAAATGGATGGGGAAAAACAGGAAAGAAAAACGAAGAAAGAATAGGAGAGAAAGAGCAGTTATAAGAAGGGGTTGCTATTTCATCTTCTCTTTGTGACTAAGAGATACTGCTGGTCCCAAGGAAATTGGCTTTCACAGATTTTAAAAATTATTTGTGGGGGCAGCTACTTCTGCTTTTGCTTTGTCAGTGCTTACCTGTTGGAGGTATATGGATTCTACCTTTGTCCTGTATTTGTTAAAGTTGGATGGTATTGACAAACAATAATCAGGTTTTGTGCAAAGACATGCCATAAAGCTCTTGGACCTAGTGGCTGGAACCTAGGTAACTGGATTTTTCTATAAAGAAGCTTCCCATAACTGATTGAAGTATTCATAACTGTCCTCAGTAGGAATTAACTAACAACTCTTCCATATTGTAGACATGAACTGTGTGAATTGGGTCTTCCAGCAAGCAGACACTGAGACAGAGATAGGAGTGCAAGCGGTTTATTGATGGATAAACAGTAGATTTGGGATAACAATTGTGATGAAGATGGAAAAGTTTATATTATCTATTCTACACTGTTGACAAACAGCTGAATAAAAACAATAGCTAAACATACGATTAAGTAAATATGAAAAGATTTTTAAATTCATTAGTAGTGAGGAAAATGCAAATTAAAATAATATTGGATCTGATCATTCTTTGCTATGGTGGGTTGGGCTCTCCTGTGCATTGTAGGATGTTAGCAGAATCCCTGGTCTCTACCCATGAGATTCCAGTAGCACCACTCCCCTCTCCTCCAAGTTGTAACAGTCAAAAAAATGTTTCCAGAAATTGTCAAATGTCTCCAAAAGGGTAAAATTACCCCTGGTGAGAACCACTGTCTTATACCCATTAGACTGGCAAAAGTTAAACACAGTTATCACATCTAATGCTGGCAGGAATGATGGGTAAGTGGTACTTTAAAGCACTATAGCCTTTTTTGGAAAAGTGAATGTTTTTTTTTTTTTTTTTTGTCTTTTTGTCTTTTTCCGTGTCCGGCAACGGATCGCAACCCTCAGTGTTGCCCCCGTACCGGACCGGGGACCGGCAATGGGATTGCACCCCTCAGCGTTGCTCCCGTGCCTCGCTCAGCCAGTGAGCGGGAACCGGTCTGTATGTGGGATCCGAACCCTCGGGTGGGAGCGCCGCCGCGCTTCCCAAGCGGCGCACTATCCAGTGCGCCACCGGGCCGGCCCAAAGTGAATGTTTTTGAAATTAAAAATATATAAACCCTTTCCTTTTTTTGGTGGTTGGCTGGTATGGGGATTTGAACCCTTAGCCTTCGTGTTATAATACCACACTCTAACCACTGGTCAACTAAATTAAAAATATATAAACCCTTTCCTTTTTTTGGTGGTTGGCCGGTATGGGGATTTGAACCCTTAGCCTTCGTGTTATAATACCACACTCTAACCACTGGTCAACCCCAATATATAAACCTTTTAACTCAGCAATCCTACTACTGAGAATCTATCCCATGAAGATATTTATGTGAAGCAACTTGCACTGTAAACAGCTATTCTGTCCTTCCATTTTTCTTTTATCAGCTTATCATTTGATCATTGTGGTCTGAGTATATTCCAGAATGTTGACTAGTGTTTAATAATTGTTTCTTCTCATTTCAGAACTCTCTTGATAGAGCCCAAGCAGCCAAGAACAAAGGCAATAAATATTTTAAAGCAGGAAAATACGAACAAGCTATTCAGTGCTATACTGAGGCTATTAGTTTGTGCCCTAATGAGAAGAATGTCGACCTTTCCACGTTTTATCAAAACAGAGCTGCTGCCTTTGAACAGTTGGTATGTACCCTAGGTTGTTTTTTTCTTTTCCTTTTATTTCTCTGATTTGCTTAAAGTTTCAGTCAGTGCTACTCAAGTAAGTCCAATACAGTTTTAAAGTTTATTTTGAAATTAATTTGTTTTGAAATTTGTTTTGTTTTTATTTACTTTAATTATAAAACTTTTTAAGAACAAATTTTAGTTTTGATGGCTACAGATATACTCCAAAGTTATATATATTTTAGATTTTATGGAAATAGTATAGAAAATTGAAGTTTCTGGTGACTCTTTTCTCAATAGTTTGAGGCTATTTCTTCAACTTTTTGTCTCCATATATGTAATAGTTACATATGCAGGGGGAAAAAGACCAAAGATAAGTATCTGTTTTACATATTTTGTGACATTTTTTCAGTTGCCACTATATCTTGTACACCTTTTCATATCAGCATGCGTAGATCTGTTTAATTCTTTTTAAAGGCTGTATGTAGTACCTATTGTAAGATTGTGTAGTGGATTGATGCACAAAACAATGGAGAAAAGAGTGTTACAAATAAAGGAAACAGTATGTGTAATTGATCTGAGGTGGGATTGGTGTGTTTAAAGAACTATAAAAGTCCTGGAGTATAGATTTATGAAATTGGTAAGGTAGAAAAGGACCAGATCAGGCAAAGCCTTGTAAGCAATGGTAAAGAGTTTGGATTTCATTCGGAGTGTAATGGGAAATATTTAAGGGTTTTAAGCAGGGCAGGAACATCATCTAAGATTGTTCTCACTGTTCTGTCAAGAATATATTACAGGGTAGGCAAGAGTGGAGGCAAGGAGATCAAGTAAAGATGTTGTAGTAGCCTAGGTGAGTCATGAAGGAAAGCTGAAAACCCACAGAACGTGCTGTTGCATTGGATGTGAACGGTGAAGAGAAGGAATTGTAATAGTAGTGGGTGGGCAAGGACAGGTGGGGAAGGAGTGAGAGCTAAGTAGACTCTTGAATTGAGAAATGTCTATATTTTAGGAGAGTGGTTTAGGCTAAAGAGATAAATCTGGAGTCATCTAATTTTAGATGTTATGTAAATCTAGACAGTAGATGTGAGCACCTAGGGAGGGGGGAGAGATGAGACCTTGAGGATTCCAGCATTGTAGAGATCAAATAGAGGGGGAGAATTCAGCAAAGGAAACTGAGAAGGAGCAGCCAGAGAGGTAGGTGGAAGTCAATAGAGTGGCAATTCTTGGGAGGTTTGGCCATAAAAAGAGATGAAAAGTGGGGTAGATGCTGTAAGGAGTTATGGAATTAAAGGAGGGTTTTTAAACAACGGAAAATACTACAGCAAGTGTTTTTATATTCATGGGAGTGATTCAGTAGAGAAGTAGATTGATGCAAAGAAGGGATAGCTGAAGTCTTTGACCTAAGAGGGTATGGCTGTGGATCACCAGTGAAGGATTGGTCTTTGATGAAGATGGGTGCTTCCCCAATTTTAAACGGACGGAAGAAGGAGATAATATGAGCACATAGTGCAGGTTGGATTGTAGGTTTGGTGATAGAAAGATGGCCCAAGTATGTCCCTTGCCTATTTAAAAAACTCTGGTTGCTTGTCTTTATTACAGGTATTTGTATAAGCTTTCATAATGTATTGTGGATATTTTTTCTTTTTCTTTTTTTTAAAGATGACCATTAAGGGGTTTTAACACTTGACTTGGTGTTGTCAGCACAACACTCTCCTAAGTGAGCTAACAGGCCATCCCTATATAAGGATCCAAACCCGTGGCCTTGGTGTTATTAGCACCACACTCTCCCAAGTGAACCATAGCCTGGCCCAGGGGGATACTTCTTCTATTGTGGGACTCTTAATACTCATCCTATTAAGTTTTAACAGGCCATCCCTATATAAGGATCCAAACCCGTGGCCTTGGTGTTATTAGCACCACACTCTCCCAAGTGAACCACAGCCTGGCCCAGGGGGATACTTCTTCTATTGTGGGACTCTTAATACTCATCCTATTAAGTTTGGAAAACTGATTTCTGCTGAACAGTGCTTCCTTTAGTGTGATTTTTCTTTTTTAATACTTTCAATTACAGCAAAAATGGAAAGAGGTGGCACAAGATTGTACAAAGGCTGTTGAACTTAATCCCAAATATGTGAAAGCTCTCTTTAGACGTGCAAAAGCCCATGAGAAGCTAGACAATAAGAAGGAATGTTTAGAAGGTAAGTGTATTTTTGTGTTTACCGATGAAAATTACTAGTCATTGATAAATTTATGTGAAACTTTGCCTTTGGAGTACAGAAACCAATTAATTGTCTTTAAAAGTTGGACTCTTCCCCAGTCGAGACCTCGTCTTCTAGTTTAAATTGAGATTGCTGATATTTAAGTTTTGTCTCTGTTCTCAACTGTGGGATTAAATGAGTATTAAGAATTGGAGTTTATATGCCACATATTTTAAACTTGGCAATTAGTAGATATTAGTATAATTCCATGAATAAGGATATCAGAAAAGAGATTTTAGCAAGTGGTAGTGTTTCTAAGGTTCTGCATATTTTCAGTTAATATTCTGTGTACATATGAAATAATTTTGAGATGAATCATTAAAGAAAACATTTGTTTTTTTGCCCTTGGTATTTTTTTTTTTAAAAGATGACCGGTAAGGGGATCTTAACCCTTGACTTGGTGTTGTCAGCACCATGCTCAGCCAGTGAGCGAACCGGCCATCCCTATGTGGGATCCGAACCCGGGGCCTTGGTGTTATTAGCACCGCACTCTCCTGAGTGAGCCACGGGCCGGCCCCTCCCTTGGTATTTTCAAACATTATTTTATACCCAATTGGAAATTCTGTAATTCGTACAAAGCATCAAAGTGCATTTGTCATTCTTGGTAAATGCTATAAATATTTTGCAGCCTCTATCTGGCTATGTCTGCTTCCAAAATTGCAATTAGAGTATAGACCACTGGCTTTTAAATTACATTCTTCTAATTAGTAAAGGGTCACAAAAAATGTTTACATTGTGTAATGATAAGATTAAATAAAGAAATACAGATAAATAAATTACATTCTTCTAGGTGACATAGAGCTAATCCAAAGTAATTTCTATAATCCTATCTAAAAGTGCTTTCTACTACATATTTAAGTCTGCTTTAAAAGCATCAATAATAAGATTTAGCCATAATTATTATTGTTTTTTAAAAGAAAAAAGCCCTTTTAAAAAAATCTAGATTACTAAATGAGGGTAGGATGCTTTAGAGAACATTTTAACAAAATTTGAGGTTTTGTGGTATCATGTGCTTTGGTAGTGGGTGATAGGAGTATTGCTTTAGAAAAGGAAATACTGAATTTTGAGCCAGACCTTGAAGATAATAATTGGCAGAGAGGAGGTTGATTGGAGTTTTAGATAGAAGAAATGGAATGAGAAAAAGACATTGACATTGGCACTAGCCAAGATTATTGGGGGAATTTAACAACAGATTGATTGTTTGGAGGAGCAAGGATGTGGAATTATGAGAAATTGAATTCAGAAAGAGAGGGGACAGCCATTTTTTTTGAGTAGTTTGAATGAAAGATTGAGAGGTTAATCACTGATCTTTTTACTTTCAAACCACTGTGTCTTGAGCTGTGGCATAACCAGATGTAAATGGTACTTTGAGGCAGATTTATTTGACACCTATTTTGCAAGATGACTTTGGAGAAAAGGAGGCCTATAAACTGACCAGACGTTAGAAAGCCACACTTTGATGATTTGCATTATAGTTACTGGCCGGGAGAGAATATTCCTGAATTCCTTGTATTATTTGCTATATATAGAATGTTAGAGTGGTGAGCAACATCAGAAATCATGCTGTACAACGCTTTTTATTTCACAAGTGAGGAAAGCAAACTCCAGAGAAGTGGAGTGACTTTCTGAGCTTTGAGTTTGGTCATAGAGTATATAAAATTAAAATATTAACAGTCACTTGTTTGGAAATGAAATGGATAGCACCGTCAGGTCATAGTTACATTGTGCCAATTTGATGATGCTCGTCATCTTTGCAATGATTTTATACTTACTCATGCTTATTCCATTATTTCTAGATGTCACTGCTGTGTGTATATTAGAAGGGTTCCAAAATCAACAAAGCATGCTGTTAGCTGATAAAGTTCTTAAACTTCTTGGGAAAGAGAAAGCCAAAGAAAAATACAAGGTAAATTAATCTCAGTTGGGTAGTAGTGGGGAGTGTACATTGTGAAGGGTCATTTCTAATTTATGCTGTTTAAATTTAGGCATAGTGGTAATGGTAACAACTGAAATTAGAACTGGATTATAGTTCTTTTTCCTGTAATCATAGGCTTTTGTGGCTTAGGCTATATTCAGAACTGTATCTGGAGAATATTGGAATTCATCTATGTTGGGGGTTGCCACACTATATATGGCCCACAGGCCGAATCCAGTCTGCTACCTGTTTTTATAAATAATGTTCAGCCACTCACACATTGTTTTTGGCTGCTTTTGAGCTACAACAGCAGAGTGGTAGAGTGGTTTGTGACAGAGACTGTATGGCCTGCAAAGCCTAAAGTGTTTACTATCTGGCATTTTACAGAAAAGTATTTGCCAGTTGTTCTTTATCATTAAATTTTTAAAGGTGTACTGTATAAATGGGCATTAGTTTTAGTCTGTTAGTAACAGAAGGTTAATTCAACAAATGTCTATTAAACAAAGCTCCATGCTGGGCATTTTGGAAGGGTGAGTACTAAGAATGGTCCATGCCCTTAGAGAATTAAAATTTAGTGAGAGACACTAAGTAAAAAGGCATGATACTGTTTAGTGTCCAAGGGGAGATGTAAGTGGAGTGCTGTGAGAGTAGCACAGGTTAGGGTTAGGGTTAGGGTTAGGGTTAGATTCACTGCTAAATTTCAGTACTATCGAGGCAGTTGTTCTTTTTTTCTTTAGTAATTACTTGCTTTGCTTTTAAATTGATTTTAATCTGTGCGTATTTTTAATTTTACATCTCTGAGTGTTAGCTGAGTTAAACAGAGTTAAAACAAGCTTCTTCACTGCAGAATTTTAGTGTACTAAGATGTATTCTCAGTCTCCAAGTGGGATACAACTGTAGTGGTTCTCAATCTCTTTAAACTGTGGATCTTTTTTTTTCTTTGAGCATCTAATCAGAGTGGTGTTCCTCAAAAACACTTTGTGAAACATCATTTTGGGATCTCATAAACTGAGCCTGGAAAGAGTCTACTTAAATAATGTTATTGTGAGAAATTAGACTGGTTGGATTGCAAAGTGGTAAGAAAATATAATAAAATAAATAACCTGTGTTACATAGGTTACAAATCAGTTTCCACATATATTTTCTAATCTGTTTGCATGCCACTTTGTAAATCAAAATACTTTTCATATTCCTGTTTTGATTTTTGCAACAACCTTTTAATATAAATAAGGCAAGAATTTCTATTGCCATTTTAGAGATGAGAAAACTTAGACTAGAGATTTAAAGACATGAGTAAGGTCACATAGCTAATAACTGGCAGAACTAGATTTTTTTATCCTGTTCCTTTGATACTTAAGTCTATTACTTGTAAAATATTATTTTTATTTTAAATTTATAACCCTGTGTGGAAGGCAGGGAAGTGATAGCTTCATTTCTAAGCTGTAATAGGAAACTAAAAGTCTTTAGTGATTTACCCACCTTCAACTAAGTGCTATTTAAATTTCTATTTAAGCTTTTCCCCTAAAATGGTAAATGCTTGCCACTATATAGTCCTTCTCAGAGTGTCTTTAGTAAAATACTGAAGTTAGGCATATTTGTCACTTGGTGGGTTACCATTTCATATAAAATATTTATTTGTATTATCCTTAATTGAGACAAATTGAATCTTCCCCAGAGAAAGCACAAAGATAAACAGTAATGATATTTGTTTTACATAGAATTTTAAATAACGTTTTCATTTTAAACTCTTTGGGTTGAATTTTGTAGACTAAGGATCCAAAATGTATTATGAGAGCCATTTGGCTGTGTTATTCCTCCTTCATTTAGGAGCTGGCCAGCCAGCTGACAAAACAAAACAAAACAAAAAAGATAAATAAAACTTTATCATCCTAATTGTACTTCATAAGGAGAAACAAAGTACTCCTATAATTATGATGTATCAAGTTGCCATGTCAAAAAAAAATAATAATTAAAACAGGAAATATGATTTCATGTAACTTTCAGTGATACTTACCTGTAATGGAGATCTTCAGATGAAAGCCCATGGTAAATGGACTTAACATTTTCAGCACCTATGTAAGATGTGGTCTTACATTTTTGGGGAGAGGAAAGGTTCTCATTTAGAACCTTCTTTGAACAGCTGGTACTGTCAGCTTTATCATTTTCACTGTCTTTTGTCCTATGACTCGGAGCTTAATATTCTTCGGTTCTTCGGAAATTAAATTCCAATTTTTACAGCAGTCATTCTTACTGTTCTACAAAGTACCTGTTTCTTTCATTAGTGTTTTCTCATTTTTGATACATTTAAATTTCAGAATCGTGAACCTCTGATGCCATCTCCGCAGTTTATCAAATCTTACTTCAGCTCTTTCACGGATGATATTATTTCTCAGCCTATGCTTAAAGGAGAGAAGTCTGATGAAGATAAAGACAAGGAAGGGGAAGCTTTAGAAGTGAAAGAAAAGTATGTCAAGCATGGTGTCTGCTTAATGGTTTTTTTGCTGCCGTGAACTTTTCCTAGAGCTCAAATGGGTTCTGAGTCATCTCAAAAAAAACTGTTTACCTACAGATATACATAAACTGAGATGCTGAGGAGTTTCCAAAGAGTAAATTTCTTTGAGGTTTTTTTTGCTTGCCTAGGAAAATGCCAATTTGGGGGCTCCTTGGATTTGATCCTGTAGTGTGCTGAAACCAAAGTACAGGATACTATGTTTAAAGTTGGAGATAATGCATAAGCCATCTAGCCTGCTTATGCATTCTTATTTATTAATACTTGTGTTTTGCTATTAAGGCTAGCTCTCCCCTGTAAGAGAAGGTACAAATATTATTACCAACATGATATTTTTTAATGAGTTTGGAAGAGAAGGGAATTTGGTTCCAGTAGCAAAGGATAACTAGGTTTTGCATCTATATCACATTGAAGGGTTTGAGGAAGCAGATTGCTTTTTGTCTTTATCTCCCAATTTTTCTACCATTGTTAGCCACCTTTGAAGGGAGGGTAGTGTGCATAATCATACCAAGATACATGAATTTTAGTAAGCGGATACACGATCTTTCACAGAATTGTAGATGGGAAGTAAATGTTTAAGATATCATATATCTCTTGTGACAGTGCTACGAATAATTTCCTCTTCTGGTTAAGAAATAGTCCTTGTCCCAGAAAAACTATAAAATAAAAATAAATAAATCCTAATCTGTTTAACTTCTACCCCCAATTCCAGTCCCACGCTGGCTGATTAACTTCTTAAGGGGAAATGGACAATTGCTTAAATCAGATATAAAAATAAAAATAAATAAATCCTAATCTGTTTAACTTCTACCCCCAACTCCAGTCCCACGCTGGCTGATTAACTTCTTAAGGGGAAATGGACAATTGCTTAAATCAGATATACTAAATGTGACAAGTTTTAGCCCTTGATCCTTTCTTATGTTCCTGTGTTCGATTTTGTTTACAGTTCTGGGTATTTAAAGGCCAAACAGTATATGGAAGAAGAAAACTATGATAAAATCATAAGTGAATGCTCAAAAGAAATAGATGCTCAAGGCAAATACATGGCAGAAGCATTATTACTACGAGCCACCTTCTACCTGCTTATAGGCAATGCCAATGCCGCCAAACCAGATTTAGATAAGGTCATCAGTTTGAAAGAAGCTAATGTGAAGGTACATTAAAAATGTGTGTGAGTGCGTGTGCCTGTGAAGAAATTTATAAACAGACATGATGCTTTTAGATATGTTTCACCAGATTTTTTAGCATTTCAATTGCCATTCTGCAAAAGGCTGTTTTTGTTTTGGAAAAAACTACACCTAATGACGATTGAGTTGGTTCAGTGAATCTGAAACATAGGTATCGATGATTTTTATCTTTAGCCAGGAAAAGAAATGTTTTTTTTTTTCCTGTCGCATCTGGTAGTTTCAGCTTCCCCTTGTAGCCACTGGCTACTGTATTCCACTATAGTTAGGTAGTAGTAAGGTTTATACAGCAATGCTATAGATAATATTGTAAGTAGCATGCAATATGTAGTACCAGGTTATAAAACAAGGTTAATAAAAATAAACATTTAATGATATATTCAGAAAGATTTTATGTTTACATGAATTAAAAAAGTTTCTAAAAGTATGATACATAAATATACCAAAAGTTTTTGCAGTTGTGTTGTTGGAATAGCTTTTCATTTTCCAAGTGTTCTCAATGAATATGTAATAATTTTCATAATGAAAATTTAGGGGGAATCTCTTGAATTATGTGAGCCTTTTACTCAGTGTAACAAGACACAGCTTAGCCCCCAATTAACTATATTCCTTATTGTTTTGTTAGCATCTCTGTGGCTTGTTTCCTCATTGAATTAAGTGAACTCTGTAGCCTCTTTCATCTCCAAATAAATCATTCATATATTTGGAGGATGTAAAAGTTGTTTTAAAGCCTAAGTATTTGTTAAAATTTCCTTTCAAAATGAGATTTTCACATTGATGATACTTTCATACTATGATAATTAATTTTCCTATTGCTTTTCCTGATGATTATATTCTGTTTATGTTTTTGTTATAATTGTGAGGGGCATTCTTATTTGTTTCATAGGTATACAGTAGTGTTTTGAACAAAATTTTGAAGAAACCTTTTTGTTTTTATGATCATGATTTTTAGTTTTAACAGCAAGTAGTAATGATGCCTACCGTATGCCGTGTACAAAGATTAACTCAAAATGGATCAGAGACTTAAATATAAGAGCTAAAACTATAAAATACCTAGAAGAAAACAGAGGAGTAAAGAAAACTTGGCTTAGACAGTGGTTCCTTAGATATGACACCAAAAACACAAATGACCAAAAAAAATGATAAATTGGACTTCATCAAAATTAAAAACTTCCATCCTTGAAAAGACACCAAAAGAAAGAGAATGGGAGAATATATTTATAGATCATTTATCCTGATAAGGGGCTTTGTCCTCAAAATAAATAACTCAACAACAAAAAGACAACATGATTTAAAAATAGGCAAAGGCTCTGAATAGGCATTTCTCCAAAGAATACATACAAATGACCGATACAGGTGGAGCAACCCTAAACTGAAAATCCAAAATCTAAAATGCTCCAAAATCCAGAATTTTTGAAGTGCTGGCATGATGATCAAAGGAAATGTTCATTGGAGCATTTCAGATAACAGAGTTTAGAATGAAGGGTGCTCAACCAGTTAGGTATCTGTAAATATTCCAAAATCTAAAAAAATTCATAATCCAAAATACTTATGGTTCCAAGCATTTTGGATAAAGGATACTCAATTTGTGATAAAAAGATGTTCAGCATCATTAGCCATTAGGGAAATACAAATCACAACCACAATAAGATACCACTCCATACCACTGGGATGGCTACAATAAAAAAGACAGACAATAAGGCTATAATAAAGATGAACAATAGCAATTGTTGGTGAGGATGTGGAGAAATTGGAACCCTCATACATTGCTGGTGGGATTTAAAATGGTATAGTTCCTTAGGAAATTAGTTTGGTAGTTCCTCAAAAAGTTAAAAACAGAGTTACCATATGGTCCAGCAATTCCGCTCTTAGGTATCTACCCAAGAGAATTGAAAGTATATGTCAACACCAAAACTTGTACATGAATGTTCATAGAAGCAGCATGATGTCCAAAACGTTGAAGCAACCCAAATGTCCATCAACTGATGAATGTGTAAATAATACGTGGTATATCTATGGCAATGGAATATGTTCCAGTCATAAAAAAAAAGTACTAATACATGCTACAACATGGGTGAACCTTGAAAACATTACACTAAGTAAAAGAATTCAGGCACAGAAGTCCATATAAGTGTGAGTCCATTTATATGAAATATCCAGGATATATAAATCCATAAAAATAGAAAGTAGATTGCTGGTTTCCAGCAGTTGGGGAGTAGGGGCAAATGGGAATGAGTGTTAATGGGTATGAGGTTTCTAATTGGGATGATAAAGTGTTCTGGAATTAGATAGTGGTGATCAATACATAACTTAACGAATATACTAAAAACGACTGACATGTACACTTTAAACAGACGAGGTTTATGGTAGGTGAATTATATCAATAAAGCTGTTATTTTAAATACCTAAATTGGAAAATAAAGTAGTAATGCTGAAACTTTCTCATTTGGGGTATGTAGCTTCAAGCAAATGCCCTCATCAAAAGAGGCAGCATGTACATGCAACAGCAGCAGCCTTTGCTGTCTACTCAGGATTTTAACATGGCTGCTGACATTGATCCTCAGAATGCAGATGTTTATCACCACCGAGGACAGGTAAAACTCTTTTTTTACTTTCAGATTGAACTATTTGGTACCATTTATAAGAACTTCTTAAAGTCTTCTGTCATTTCTGATAGCTGTGAACACAGTGGTTTACAGTTTGAACTGGCCTTTCTTTAGTTCCATCTTGAACATTTGTCCTTATAACTTTGATATTTACTTAATGAAAAAAAGAGGAAAGGAAGGCAAAAAATGTTGGCTTAGTGCAAGTTTGTTTTTCAGGTTTTTCTGGTTCATAGGTTTTCAATGAGTAAAACAATAACATTTAGTAAGCATTTTGAGTTAATGTTAGAATCAACAGTTTCCAGTTACAGCCTCATGTGGGTAAAACTGGGCTTTATAATACTATATCATGGCTTCTTGGAATGCATTATGGTGGAAAGTAAGTATGGGCTATCCGTATAAAAACAGAAAAGCTGAAGTTCTTTCTAATGGAGAATTTTAGTTAATATTTTTGTCTGAAGTGTGTTAAGTGGTGAGATAACCTCTTAAAATTCTCTGCATTTTGATCCTTACTTGTAGTGTCCCTAGATTAATTTGAAAAGTAATCATCTGATGTCTAACCTGCTTTGCAATTAGAAAGTACAGTGATGTTTAGTTTTCTAGAAGAAAGGGTTTCTTGCTTAATAGTGATCAAAATTAAAGAACAAAAAGTGGTGGGCTTATAGTTCTGTTAAAAATTGGACACCAATTTTTAGAATTTTTTTCTTTAAAATTACAGGACTTTCTAGTTCACTTTTTCTAGAAAGCAATTCTATACTGAGTAATTACTACATGCTGAGCATTATGCTGAGCTGTGATAGTAGAGAAGAGATAAGATATGCACTTAACTGGTACACCTATTATTTAGGATTGCATTTGTTCATGCATTTTTTCCTTAGCTGAAAATACTGCTTGATCAAGTTGAAGAAGCAGTGGCAGATTTTGATGAATGTATTAGATTAAGACCCGAGTCTGCTCTGGCACAAGCTCAGAAATGTTTTGCATTGGTAGGTACTACTTCCTTTTATATTTTCCTAAATTTTATTTCCCAGTGTCAACAAAAATGAGTATTTTATTATGTATAAAAATCATCTATTTTTTTCTCCCAAAGGATGACTACAAGGGGAAAAATGTATCAGTAAGCATATATGCTAATTGATATACAGCTCCTATATTCTGCTAGACCGTTTGTTCAGGTTCATCTTGATAGATGTTTCTCACAAATTTTATGCTCCCCTAAATAGAACTGGTCTCCCTCCTTTTCTGCCATAAACCAGTACAAAAAAAAGAGAACATTTTAAAGAAGTACTCCGCAATCATCACATTACGTTAACTGCTCTCTCCTCTCTCCTTATAGAGCTAAACAATATTCAGAAACACAAAGCTGAAAATGTAAAATAAGTCCATTTCTAGTAAAATGAGGTTCTTTCAGTTAGCCTTACAGCCAGAGTCCTAAAAGAATTTTCCTTTTAAAGAAAGATATTGGGTCACAGACATAAACACATCTATGTTACAGATGAAAAAATTTTATTAGACTTAAAATTCCACCGTTTATATGCTGAGTTAACTTCTTGTAACTTAGTATGCCCTCTTCTAGAGTATTGAATACCTTGAAATTGTATAGTATCTTTGAAGTCCTAGCTGTACATAGCCTTTGGATCCCTGTTGCTCAGATATTTCCTTGGAACCTTTTGGATGCAGCAAATTATGTTAGCAAATCACCTGCTTTTCTGGAAATATTTATGTAATTTTGTATGTCTTTTGTAATATGTTAGTATTCCATGATTTTTTTAAGTTCTTGATTTGATAGGCCTGTTTTGATTTTTTCAATAGTATCGCCAGGCATACACAGGAAACAATTCTTCACAAATCCAAGCAGCTATGAAAGGTTTTGAAGAGGTCATAAAGAAATTCCCAAGGTGTGCTGAAGGCTATGCACTATATGCCCAGGTAAATGTGATTTTTCAAAACTGAATTTGTATGCTGATTCCCAATATAGTAATCAGAAAACAGTGCTACCCTGGTTGCAGTTTCAGTGGAAGCAGGAGGCTCTGTTCCTGCTTTGATTCTCATGGCACCCAGGATGGTCTTGATGTCACCTCAGGAGACACTTCTCTGTTATACAATTTGGAAACCATGGCTCTGAACTCGTAATGTGGAGAAACTCTCTCATGTTTTCATTTGGATTGGATTTGCAAAAAGTAATTACCTTAGGGAAATTTACTGTATGCAATTGGTGGGCAAAATTCCCATGGAAAGGGTTTTTTTTCTATTTGGTTACTGTCCTTTTACATGCTTAGATAGACTGTAACAGCTTGTTTTAATTTCTCTTTGGTTTGTTAAAGCTTTTTTGGTTTAGGATTGAAGCTGTAGAAAGTAGGATTTAAATTTGAATTACTTTAACTTTTTGATTATGTAGTCTGAAATTCTTGGAGATTTATTAATTTTTAAATCTTTCATTTAAATGAAAATGATTAGCTTTCTTTAGCCACAGTTATACTTTTTTCCCCTCAAGTTATCTCTGAATGACTATTTTGTTAGTATTTGAGTTGAAAGTTGCTTTTGGTATCTACATAAACCAGCCATCTCAGTATGCTATATAATCTTTTTATCTTATTTATTTATTTTTTTTCTAAAGATGACCAGTAAGAGGATCTTAACCCTTGACTTGGTGTTGTCAGCACCACGCTCTCCTAAGTGAGCCAACTGGCCATCCCTGTATAGGGATCTGAACCCATGGCCTTGGTGTTATCAGCACCACACTCTCCTAAGTGAGCCACGGGCCAGCCCTTTTTTATCTTATTTTTATTACAAAAGAAATGTGGTTTCCCCCTACAAACATCACAGTATAGAAAACATTTTAAAATTACCATCCCTGGTAGACTCCTCTCCTGAAACCATTCTGAAGGTTGCTTATTTTGTTATTAATTTCCTTCATGCTATCTTTAGGCAGGAAAATTTTCACAAGGACTTTGAGGGTTTATTGAGGGAAGGACTGTGTGAAGATTGATTTGTGTTGGATCTGTTCTTTAAAGGTAGATCCTACACATCACTCCATTATTAGGGAATGAAATTCTGGGGTATGAAACACAATACAGAAGTTTGAAATAATGTTATCTAGTAAGTTTTTGTTCTTTACAGTTCCTAGACAGAATGGTAATAAAAAACTAAACATTGTTTGCTGACTACACTCTATTTGATTAATTATAAAAACATGTACTATAAAATTTTATAGAACGTATAAAAGCTAAAGTAAGACATGCACATTTTAATTGTATGATATTTGTATTGATTAGGTACACTTGGGTTTATGCCTTATATGTAATTAGTAATAAACCATAAAGTGACAGCACCATCCTCATCATTGTCATGGAATTCAGAAGGGCTTTTTGGGTATGCATTTCTGTAAGAAGCTAAGAGAGCAAAGACCACTGAATAGTTTTCCTAAATGCAGAGCTTTCCTAAATGCACATTTCCCTGTCACTATTCTGCCTTCAAAATAGGTTTTGCTTATGAGTTGTCTTCTCATCAGAACTAGCGTTATCATAGTCTGTTTGCACTCAAATGTCTGTTCTTAGGTTCCTCTTCTAACTTTTGCTTCACTTTGTAGTTACATATAATGTAACTTTATGTATACATATACATATATTTATATAGTATAACTTTTTTCTTTTAACCCTCAAAGCTATGGAATGCATCCAACAGTAAACAAATACACTTTAACTTATCCTAACTTATCCTTCCAAATGAATATTGCCCATAAAGTAATTCCCTTGGGATGTATTATGATAAATTATGAATAAGGAATATGTGACATGAGTGTACTTGTGAGAATGTGACATTAGAACTGTCACTAAGAGTGGGATTTTCTCTATTCCAAAGTTTACCAGACTATCTGCTGTTGCATATAACTAACCACTTGCCAAAAAGAAAAAGACAGTTAAGATTTCTTATTTATAACAGTGCCACCTAAAAACCCTGATAATTAACATGTAAAATTTAAATCAGTTTGTATTCCTAAAACATAATAATTTGGTGATGAATAGATAAATGAAGGAGATTTTAATAATTAATAAGCAGTATACTTTTAATGACTTAGGTTGACAGTTACCTTAATATAACTGAAGTATTTCCTCACATAGGCATTAACAGATCAACAACAGTTTGGTAAAGCTGATGAAATGTATGATAAATGTATTGATTTGGAACCAGATAATGCCACAACATACGTTCATAAAGGGTAAGTATTTTTGTGGGTTCCTTTTGTTCCAATAAGAAACTAAATTTCTTGCATGGTAATGAAATGGATTTCTTTTGGCCATTGAGGAAAGGGGGGGACTGTGGTAGAGAAGTATCAGTGAGTTAATTGACAAAGTTCTTAATACTTGTGGGTGCTGTTTCATTTTTATATAAAAATTAGTAAATGCACTATTTTCAGTCTAGGCTAAGATTTTTTTTTTTTTTTATTCCTTTTTGTCTTTTTTACTGACCGGTAACGGGATCGCAACCCTCGGTGTCGCACCCGTACCGGGGACCGGCAACAGGATTGCAACCCTCGGTGTTGCGCCCGCACTGCGCTCAGCCAGTGAGCGGGAACCGGTCTCCACATGGGATCCGAACCCTCGGCGGGAGCGCCGCCACACTCCCAAGCAGCGTACTCTCCAGTGCACCACCAGGCTGGCCCTAGGCTAAGATTTTAATTTCAGTTTTGCATATCCTATCAAATGTTGTTTGTATAAAAATGGGAAACATTTAATAAGTTTTTCCTATCCTTATGTACTTGAATTATAAGAAACATCACTTAAATTTAAACAGTAGTAAAAAATAAGGGATGCAAAGTAGGTTAGTAATAGAGCCTAGACTGTTGGACATTTTTTTCATGATAAGGAAACTTAGACTACAAAACCAACTTAAGTTGAGAAAAAAACAAAATTTGATGCTGATTATAAGCTGCTTTAGTTTTTGTTTTTTCTTGTAAGTTAAATTATAGATTGATTTAAGGGCAGAAATTTAGTTATACACTTATATTCCCATTGATACTGGACCACATTTGACTGCCTTTTTGCATTTGCAGTTTACTTCAACTTCAGTGGAAGCAAGATCTGGACAGAGGTTTGGAGCTTATCAGCAAGGCTATTGAAATTGACAATAAATGTGATTTTGCATATGAAACCATGGGAACTATTGAAGTGCAAAGGTAATGTCTAGAGTCTGTTCTTAGGAAATTTATGGCAAATCCATAGATATTTATCTTTTCCTTCTCATTACATACATGTTATTGTCAATATCCATAAAAATTTTAAAGTTTGTTGTGCCTTTTGAGGCTAGATTCCCTTCAAACTACACAACTTTGATTTGCATTGTTTCATTATTTTTCCAAATTAAAACACTAATAAAAGTTAAGTCAAGTATATGCATTTGAAAGGAAAACTAGGTCTTTCTCTAATACCTGTTGTGTGTTCTTTCCTCTTTTCACCCATATTACTTCTGTTGGAGGAAAAAACACCTGTAATGTGCCTAGGCCTTGCAGAGTAACATAAAGATTGGTAGCCAGGTTGCCAGAATATCTGGCTTCTGCTACAAAGAAGCAAACAGCTAAATGACTGGGCAAGCTACAGTATCATCTCTGAGCCCCTGAATTTTCTTTAAAATTGGGGTTGGATAAGAAGATTTTTTGCAACTCTGGCTCACCCTAACTTCTCGTTTTTTACATATGTTTATCCAGAGTTGCTCTTAAGATCCTTCATTCACAGGTGACAGCTGTTTACTCATGGATTTATTGTAGTATACCATCTTAATATTGGCATTGCCATCCATTTGAGTACCTATTCTAGACAGGTACTGAACTTTAGGTGTTCTCCTAAAAATTATTTCAATTGATCTTTACCCCCATCTTTATAAAGGTGGAGATTATATGATCCCCAATTTAACAAGAGTATACAAACTGATGCCTAAACTAGTTAACAAAGTTGCACAGTGAACCAGGAGTGAAGCCAGGATTTTAGTCCATATTTCACTGATACCAAAGTCACCTATCTTGCCATTATCACTTGTCAGAAACCAGCATGAGTATTCTTAGTTCCATATTATTCAGCCCTTCCTGTGGCCCTCTCCCTGCTCCAAAGTAGTCAGGAGATATATATATAAATATATAGGCTGATTTTGTGGGTTTTTTTAACCATTCTGTACTGACAATCGCACATAAACATTAAATTATTTCTTAATTGCTAATTTTTTAATGTGAATAAAATATTCTCATACTGGAATAGGATAGGGCAGTGGTTCTTAATCTTTTTTTGAGCAAAGCTGTGGATTCTTCTAAGAATAATGCAAAAATACTTAGTGCTAACACTAAGGTCAAGGGTTCGGATCCCCATACTGGCCAGCTGCCAAAAACAAAAAAATAAATAGTGTACATATAAAAACACTTTGCATTTAATTTAAGGTGTTTATAGATCCTGTATTAAGGACCCCTGATTTAGGGGTTTTGATGGAATTTTGTTTGTATGTTAATTGTACTTTAAGAAGTCCATTCTAAATAAAACCTTATAATCAAATAAAAGATTGTAAATAAGTGAATCAAATTGCTGATTTTCCTAGGATTTGGCAGATCTGCTTGCTAATCTGTTGACCTAATATCTGAACATGAATTCTCTAAAAAGTTTGTTTTAAATAAGTCTATCATAGCCAAATATTGTAGTGGGAGGTTAAATATAGTCACCCTAAAGGTAACTATTACTTCTTAGAATCTAATTGGCATGAACATATTAAGGACTTAGTATTTGTAGAATTACATACATGTATAGATATATACAGCAAATACTAGCATACTATATATATATAGATAATACTAATTATTTAAAACAGTTGATTCTTAGTAGCTATATAAAGCCTAGCTGTGTTAGACCATTAGAGATAAATTGTATCTTACTGACCGAACATATTCATCTATTTACTCAAAAAACGGGTAGTAATTGCCAGCCATTGTACTGGGTTCTGGTAATTGAAAGATGTCCATCAAGGAGCTCGTAAGTTTGTGGTGTGAACAAATACATATTCATCTAACTGTGCATAGAATGACCGTAAGAGCTATGAGAACACTGGCTAATTGCCCTAGGCAGGGAAGAGGAAGATATTTTTCATGAGGATATTGTATGAGGATACTTCAAAAAGTTCATGCAACTGTTGTATTGTCTTTCAATTCTGTTTTTCCACAAAGTTTTTAAAGTACCCTTTTACTAGAACTGGGCATTAGAAAGGTGAGGATTTGACCAGAATCAGACAAAGAGGCAGTACACATCAAGGAACTCAGATACACCTGTGTGACTGGAGCAGAGGTGAATGGTGTTGGGGATATGGTGACAAGAGATGAAGTGGAAAGATGGTGGACTCAGATCAGTGAAGAGGCCCTTAGTGTTCCCTGATGAAACACACAGAAACACAGAAATTGAGGAACCAGGCAGAATTATGGTTTTAAATGAGCCATTTAATTTTCCTAGTCTGACTGTTCTTATCTGTAAACAAATAATACAAGAGGTATAATGTAAGCACATAGTATTTGTAATAGTAGCTTACATGTATTTAGTGCTTTTAGTGTGCTAGGCACTCTTGTGTATTATAAAAGAAGCTTTTATTAGAATCATAGTTGAAACTTAGTTAGATTTCATGTAGCATCACTTACAAACTTCATTGGATATTGTGGAGTGCTTGTTGAATCTGAAACTTTTAAAATTTTTGTTCTTTTAGAGGAAACATGGAAAAAGCCATTGACATGTTCAACAAAGCTATCAACCTGGCCAAGTCGGAAATGGAGATGGCTCATCTGTATTCACTTTGTGATGCTGCCCATGCCCAGACAGAAGTTGCAAAGAAATATGGATTAAAACCACCAACATTATAAAACGGAGCAAGGAGACTGACCCTCTTTTTAAAAGAAGTTTACCCCCTCTTCAATTGAACCCTAAAGACACTGTCATGAACCATGCTGAATGGTGGAACTTAGTATTTCCGTTTGTGGTGTTGTCAGTCCTTACATCTGTTTCATGTTTAGGTGTTGTGGGCGTGGCTGTTGGAGGAAGTTTGCAGTCTTGCAGCTTTTATTCCCTGTGCAACAAAAGCTTAGATCCTGTTAAAAGGGACATTGAAATAAAGTTGCAAAGAGTACAAATGATAATTGGCCATGCAAATAAAAACTTTGATTTGTTGATTTTTTTTTTTTTTTTAATGGGGGGCGGGTAGGGTGTTGATTATGTTCCGGATGATTTTGTCTTTATCTGTATGTGTGTATAATATGAGTATTTTACAGCATGTTGGTTTTTAAATTAACATAGTAAATACTGTAAAATAGATTTCTTCTGTATTCAGTTAATCCCTTTCACTTTTTGAAGGAAACAAAATTTAACTGGGGATTAAAGTAAAATTAAAAGACCCTTTAAACCATTGTCAGCATACACAATGCTTCTGATTCTGCAGAACTTTAGGAACTTAGTGGCAACTGTTAATCCTTTTTGACCCCCTTCCATTCCAATGGATAATGTACATCATTCTTAAAGTCCACAACAGCTGGCTTCATATAGTAAATTATGCAGAAGCAAAATATTCTGATTGATACATGTGCTGGAAGACATATAATGGTGGAGTGAACCAGGGAAAGAGGTAAGCTGAAGTTGAATTGTGTTTATAATTGTAATAAGTAGGACTATTTAATAGTGTACTTTTTAAAGAAAGTGCAGGTTGCTTATATGTATAAACCAAATAAAGATGGAACAAGTGTGATATGGAAATATTTAGTTTAAAATTTCTAGTGAAGAAAATGTGGCTTAAAGCTTCAAAAAGGATGTAAGTCTTAGAGCCAGAACATAATATTTCCTGAAATGACAAGATTATTGCTTCAGTTACAGCTACATGTACTTGAGGAATTTTGATCCAGTATTTTTACAGATGCTGAGGACATGCAGAGTGCTTTTTAGAGCTGAGTTAACCTTGATCTCTGAAGACTAACTGCCCATGTCCAGGTCTTCACTAGGGATACTGACAGCAGATATTTTTGTTGTCAATTTTATCTTTATACCACTCCTTACTTAGAAATCACTTAAAGGTTTATTTCCAATTGTCACTTTTATAGATCATTCTTTTGCTTATATGCTGGATTTTTCTGGAGACAGATGGGTTGTGTTCTTAAGGGGTCTCGAGATATTTGGGATGGGGAGAGGTTTATTAAGTCTGAACATAATAAAAGAGCAAGCCTTCAGTTATACTTTTCTGGAAATGAAACCTTATTATAGTTTACATTGTTGGGAGTAAAGGAGCATTTTACCCATCTTTAAAGGGTGCTGTATCCTGTTGAAACCAAAAATATTTTTGTCTATAAATGCTGTCTTTTTAGAAACTGTTAGAAATGACTCCCTTCCAAATTCAGTCTTTGGAAAATATAGAGGAAGTCTCTAATTAATGGGAGCAGTTAACATAATTTAAGGTGATTTGGATAATGGAAAGTTTGAAAGCTCTGCATTTTGTTCTTAAATTCTGCACCTATTATGATAACCCCTGAATATAGAAATGTTCTATATCTCTCTATGACCTCTGACTTAAACAAAACAAAAAAGTTTTTATTTGCATGGCTTCATTTACATTGACACTGACATTTTCTTCTACTCTGCTCCCTTCTTTCCCCTTGGGGTTGGGTAGAAAAACACAAAGGAGACTGAAGCATGTGCCATTAAATACTATCATTCCAAATTCTCACGAACTATTGCCTGTTGTGAAAATATTTGAAACTGCACTGAAAGCTGCATCTGTCTGTATCTTTTCTTTTGTAAATTATCTCACATGTAAATTCACCAAATAAATATTACATTCAAGCTTTTCCATCTATTCTTTAAATAGAAAAATAGGTAGTTTATTCACTTATACTATTTGGTAAATTCAATCATTCTTTTATGGGTGCAAACTAACTTTGAAAATAGGGACATACTGGACTTGTTAGTATATGAAGCAAAATAAGTTCGTTGGTGTGAATAGTGGAGTTTTTGGTCAGAGAATCTGTATTAGTCCATTTTGTATAACAATACCTGAGACTGGGTAATTTATAAAGAAACAGGTTTATTTAGCTTATGAATCTGGGACAGCTGTATCTGGTGCCAGCCTCAGGCTGCTTCTACTCATGGCAGAAAGTGGCAGGGAGCTGGTGGGTACAAGCAGATCCCATGGCGAGAGGAGAGGTGCCAGGGTCTTTTAAACAACCAGCGCTCAGGGGAACTAATAGAGTAAGAACTCACTACCCCACACCCCAGGAAGAGATTCATAAGGGATCTGACCCCATGACTCATACAGCTCCCAACACTGCCACATTGGGGATCAGATTTCTACATGTTTTGGGGGGGACAACAAATTCAAACTCAGTATCCATCCTCCTACTGTGAAACAAGGCTCCACAGAGGGCTAGTACAAACTCATAGAGCCAACTTACTGCATTCCTTCTCTATACTTTACCCATATTTGCACAGTAGCCTGGAACGTTTCCAGTCAGACCTGGACCTTGTGGCTAAGTTTATCTTCAAGCTGGTTTCACCAGTGAGTTTCATCATAGTTCTCATCCACATCATGTCTTTCAGAAAACATACCTGAAAGAATCTCTACTGTCCTTGATATTTGTGGTATAAATAGTGAATACAAAGGTTGGCTGGTTAGCTCAGTGACGGCTGGTAACACCGAGGTCACATGGTTCAGACTCCCTTACCAGCCAACTGCCAAAAAAAAAAATCCCAAAACAATAGTAAGAAACTTTGATTTTTATTTTTTATTTTTTTTCCTTTTTTGTCTTTTTTACTGACCGGTAACGGGATCACAACCCTCGGTGTCGCGCCCGTACCAGGGACCGGCAACGGGATTGCAACCCTTGGTGTTGCGCCCGCACCACGCTCAGCCAGTGAGCGGAACCGGTCTCCACATGGGATCCGAACCGTCAGCAGGAGCGCGTAATAACTTCGTATAGCATACATTATACGAAGTTATACGAACTTTGCACAATTGTTTTAAGATGACCGGTAAGGGGATCTTAACCCTTGACTTGGTGTTGTCAGTACCACGCTCAGCCAGTGAGCCAACCGGCCATCCCTATATGGGATCCGAACCCGTGGCCTTGGTGTTGTTAGCACCACACTCTCCCGAGTGAGCCACGGGCCGGCCCTCAAGTTGCAGTTTAAATAGTACTTTGTACCTGTAGAAATCAACTAATTGTCATCTTAAAGCTGTTTATAAACAGGAAGACCATGTAATTTAGCCAAACTAGGAAACTTTTGCATATAAAAGTAATTACCCGAGACTGTCCTAGGTAAAGTGGGTTGTATGGTCTTTGTATTTATAAGGAAATAACTTAGAAGTGGTTGGAGGGAGTGGTGGGTAATAACCCTGTCCCCAGTCCTCTGCTAAACCAATTTGTGAAAAAAGTGGCAGGATTTGAATTTGTTTGCAAGTTTTAACACACTCTGTGTCATAGGATGATTAACAGTTCCCCCCAAAATATTCACATCCACATCCCTGGGACCTGCGAATGTTACCTTAGAGGGCAGAAATGGACTTTATTGATTAGGTTAAGGTTCTGGAAATGGGGAAATTATCCTGGATTATCTGGGTGACCCAAAATGCAATCAAAAGAGTCCTCATAAGGGCTGGCCCTGTGGCTCACTTGGGAGAGTGTGGCGCTGGTAGTGCTGCGGCCATGGGTTCAGATCCTATACAGGGATGGCCGGTGTGCTCACTGGCTGAGCGTGGTGCAGACCACACCATGCCAATGGCTGCAATCCCCTTACCGGTCAAAAAAAAAAGAGTCCTTATAAGAGAGAGAGTTCAGAAAAAAGAGGAAAAGGCAATGTGACCAGAGAGGCAGAGTGATGTGGCCACAAGCCAAGGAAAGCTGGCAGCCACCAGGTACTGTAAAAGACAAAGGATTCAGCCCTGGAGCAGCACCTGGCCCTACCAACATCTTGACTTTGGCCCAGTGAAACTGATTTCGTACTTCTGGCCTCCAGAAGTATGAGAATAACTTCCTGTTTTAAGCTACTAGATTTGTAGTAGTTTGTTATAGCAGCAATAGGAAACTAATACAGTCCTTTGGCTATTGTGCACAAAGAGGGAGACTTACAGATTCTTTTGAGTATCCCAAAGTAGAATGACTTCATGTACACAAATATCGGTCAAAGGTGGTTTAGGCAGGTGAATGTACACCTAGGCCACAGACTGGAGTTTCAAGAGCTGGGGTATTTGTGATTTAAAATACATGTGATCCTGGTATAATCATAAGGCCAAAAGGCTGCCCATTAGGTAATAGGTAAAAGTCAAGATCTGTATTAGTCTGTTTCTGTTGCTTATAATAAAATACCTGAATCTGGGTAATTTACAAAGAAATAAAATTTATTTATACAGTTTTGGAGGCTGGGAATTCCAAAGTCCAAAAAACACATCTGGTGAGGGCCTTGTGCTTGGTAACTCTACAGCTATGCAGTGCATCACATGGCAAAAATGGCAGGAGCAAAGAGAGTGCTTCTCACATGCTGTCCTTTTAAAGCCCTCAGAACCACACTCATTATTCCATGAATGGATTAATCCATTCATGATGGTACAACCCTCACAATCCAACCCTCACCTTTCAATTACCATAATAGGATTTCCAACCCTCCTAACACTGTCACAGTGGGGATTAAGTCTCAATAAGCTTTCAGGGGGGACATCCAATCTACAGCAAGATCCCTCTGCCAATACCCTAGAAGAGGCATCAAAAAGAAGACACTATTTTCAAACATTTTGAAACTCTTCAGGCAGCATGAAAATAGTCTGATTTTAAAGTGACAGTGCACAAATTACATCGGAAGTTGAGAGCTACTGCTGTTCGACCTTTCTAGATGGTCTTTATGCTGGTGCCTGGCTCCAACAAAACGAGGGCAGGAAGTTAAAGGTGGGGGTAGGCTAAGCGCCAACATGATTGTTGCCTTTCAGAGATCAGGGACACAAAGCTCAATTTCTCCAGTCCCTTTGTTGTTGGTACTTAAAGACTACATGACCGTGAGAGTGTTGTCCTAGAAGGCCATGGGAGGGTTTACCTAAAGCAAATACAGGGAGAAAGACTGTGACTCCTGGGCATTGTATTGGAAGGTGAAAGGCTTAAGGCAAGGGGGACCAGAATAGAGCATGGTGGAATTCTATGCAGAGATGACTCATGGCCTAAATTATCTATGAACTGCTGTATTAAACGACTTTCCCTGATTTTACTTCTCAATATCCGCTCTGTGTCAACTGTAAAGGGTCTAAGATTTATCCTTGCGAACTAGTTTCCTGAATGCTGGTAGAAGACATGAGACTCCTGGGTCAGACAATGGACTTAATTGTTTAGAGCACAGCAAGCAACACGAGCTTCTGTCCCAGAACCCACAGGAATGACATGAAGTGATCTAGGTAGATAATCCATATGCGGTGGGTTTGTGTCACAGCCTAAATCTTTACTGAGCTGGCCGCAAGCAAACCTGCCTTTCACATAAGAGGAAAACATTATTCTTATTATACTGGATAGTAAGCAAACCCGTCCTGTGCTCCAGAGGGAGACAGTCTCTATCTTGCAAACCTGTCCATTATGCAAACATCCTTGAAATGATAATCTGCAACAAAAACAGTGATGCTTCTGTTGACAAGATTATGTAGAGAATCACGGAGAAGTGACTCCCCATCTCTACATGTTTGTACATTTATTAATTCATCTCAAGCTTAATCTTTCACCAGATTAAAGGATTACAGTGTTTGTTTTAGACAACAGCATGGCACAGGGTAAAGTATTACTGGCCTGTGCATTGAGTGACCTTTGTTCTAACTAAACGCTGCTTCCTACTGGATGTGTGATCTTAAGTAAATGAAGGTCCCATCCAACTCTGAAGTATATGAAGTTGCATCATGTCCCAGGATCTTCCCACATTCTAATCCTTTAGGGTAAGGGAATCATTTCAGAATATCTAAAAGTTATTTGGCCAGAAAATTTGCAAGTGAACAACTGCAACCTGTAGGAATAAATTCATTTCAATTCAACATCTACTAAGCACCCATCAACGTGAGAATTAGCCAAAAAACGTGAACATAAAGGCCTCATAAAGAACATAAAGGAGATCAAAAACTAGATGACAGTTTTAGTGCCATATCAAAGTTATGTACAAAGTGCCATGTAAACACAAGAGTAATAAATTCTGGTAGGCTTTAAAGGATTAATAG